CCGGCCCCACTGCCTGCCCCTCATCCTGTCTGCGCTCTCGAGACCATGTGGCTGGTGGCTGCAACATCTGCGCATTCCTTGGGTTTTTCGCTCCCGCCTGCAGCCACTTACCCCAGGGCTGCCCCACCAGAGCCCAGGGGAGCCCAGAGCAGAGCCAGCAGGCCCTGGCAGAGCCAAGGGCCCTGCTGTGTCCCAGGGAAACTGGGTGGTGTTAGGAACTTGCAAAGAGTTGTACTGTGACCTGCCCTGGCTTAGAGGTGACAGCAGGACAGGGGACATCAGGTAACCTAATGGGGCTGGACCCAGAGTCAGCTGGGGAAGGGATGTGCAGTCCCAGCGTGCACCCAGTGCTCTGCTCCAGCTGACGCCCTGGGAGCTGGGGTGTGCTGTCTGCGGCAGCATCCCTGTTGCAGGGGTGGGGGCACGTGGCGGGATGGCGTGGACAGGTACCCTGCCTTCTGGGCAATGCGGGGCAGTGAGGGTCATGTGGGGGAGATGTCACCAAGCTGGGGTGGCCAGGCTCCTGCAGTGGCCCTGGGCTTCTGGGACCAGTTCAGCTGCGTAGCCCTGCTGCCCTCCAAGACCTTGGCTGTGCTCACCCCAGAGCTCCTACCCTGTTGGGTCCCTGCAGGCAGGGAGCAGGCACGCTGGCTCCCCAGCTCATGCACACACACTCCTGGCGCCCCAGGGCTGCCGGGGAGCAGGAAGTGTGAAGCAGGCTCATCCAGGCAGCCGGGATTGCCAAAGGGCCAGCACTGGACTGTGCGTGCTGGGGCCCTGGGGAGAACGGGAGGGATGGAGCCCAGTGCCTGAAGCCATGGGACCCACCAGACCTTCTCCTGCCCTGAGTGCTCGGGATGTGACCCCACACTCTCAGGGGTGTCCTGGTATGGGCCTCGGCAGAGTGTGACCGTGTCACCCCTTACCCTTCCCAAGGAAGGATAAACAGAAAGAGCTTCTTCCGCCTTGAGCTGGCGGGTTTCCCAGGTCTTAGGTTGCTTATGCTGCTCTTCTCTGAGTCTTTCCAGTTATCAGTGCCTGGGTAGTTCCATGTCCCCATGCGTGTGTCCAAGGCCAAGCACGTTCCTGCGGTGCCTGCCGTGGCCTGGCCCTTCCCTGCTGCTGCGGCCTGGATGTTGTCCCTGTGCCACAAGGATGCCCCGTGCCTGGCTGCCCTAACACATGCTGATCAAACAAAACAACTTGCTGGGGGCCCCGGTTTATCGAGAGCTGCCCCTGCATGATGTCTGTTTGCCATTCACTGGGCTTGCACTGGGGCAGGCCGATGTCCCTCTGAGTGCCTGGCGAGTGCCAAATGGCATGTCAGATTTGAACAGCCCTTGGAAGCCAGCAGCCCCCGGGCTCTGGGCACCCCTCATTGGCACCGCTCACAGCCACCAGCACAACAGAGCCCCTCACTCAGGGGTGCAAGACACAGTTGGGGGAGCAGAGAGATGATGGGTGCAGCACCCAGCTGGGAGGGCTACAGGCCCTGCCAGGGTGGCTCTGTCTTGGGGGAGCACTGGAGCCCCTGCCATTCACTGGGGCAGGCAGAGCTGGTGGGGTGGCGTGGGAGCAGGTCGAGCAGTGCTGTGGCTCCTGCTGCTGCGCAGGGCTGCTCTCTGCACCCAAGGGTCCCTGCACCTGCGGTGCGGGGCCAAGGCCAGGGGAGTGCAGGAGCCCTGGGGTCTCAGCCCCGCAGGGTCAGACGCTCCACTGCCAGCACCAGCTGCGTCATGGGCCGGGAGGTGGCTCGGGGCCCTGTGCACGCCTGTCTGGGACATTCCTGAGGTTTCCTGGGCAGCGTCGAGGACCTGGGCTGCTCCCTGTCTCCCACGCACAGCGTTTGCTCAGGGCCAGCCTGTCCTCCTGAGCCCTTTCCACTTGCAGCGTGAGTGCTGCTGTGCGTCCGAGCCCGCTCGTGGGCAGGCACGTTCAGCGTGGCACGGCACAGGCAGGCTGGTGGCTCTGACAGGAGCCCCAGTCCGAGAGGAGACTGTTCCTGGCTGGAGCAGGCAGCTGGCAGCAGGAGGACTGGGAGGCTGGGCAGGACCAT